AAGCTGATCTATATAAATGCGATTGTACAGCTGTTTTTGAGAATGAAATCGCCGGAAGGACAGATATCAGTTTGCTGAACTTCTTGTTATTTTCAATCATCTAATTTTGCAATGGGTATTTTCCACGATTTGGAAGCCAACTGCTTCGCTTCAGTGGGGCGGAAATGTATAAATTTACTTAGAATGACCACTGACTGTGTCTGTGATTTTATTGACAAGGACTGAAATATGGATGGAATTCATACTTTTCTCCTTCTCACACTTCCCGACTCCTGTGTTTTCCCACACTCTCCTATAGATAGACGAATCAACTACTGAACAGCAATCAGAACAAGTCGGTCCGAATGTGTCTTATCAACAGAACAGAACAGAACAGAACAGAAACCACACGATTCAATACTACTTTATAACATTTCCTCAAATTGGATAGTGTGAAATATTCCCATATTATGAATTAGAAGTCAATCTAAACGAAGAATATTCTTTTCAATACATCATTCTCCTCTTAAGGTTCTTACAATTATAAAATATAATATCTGTGGTCGTTACAATAAAGGCGGCGGATACATTTTTAACGTAGAATAACAGATTAGTAGTTATGGGGTGTCAAAATAAATAGTCATCTTTGTGTGACAAAAATTGCTCTGGACTGAAATCGATTAGAAAATCATCCTGTGAAATGGGTGACAATAGTGGTGATTAATCGTCATAATAGAATTGTAGAGTGTGGGGTAGGAAAATTGACAAGTAAGTTCAAGGTTATAAAAGGTGTCAGGTGAGCGGAGTGGCTAGTACAAAGTGGTCTGAGTTAAACAGGAGATAGTAAGACTGGAATGAGAGGTTCATAGTGAGATAACGAATATGTGAAATGAAGAAACAGGTGGAGGCGGCATATATTGAGAAAACAGATAATATCACTTACTAATAATAAGTCCGTTTAAATGAATGAAAAATTCGAGAGTATTGAGGGAATGTTTGCATAAAGGGCATAAATTATGACGAATAATACTAATAACTGTAATAATAATAATAATAATCCTATTTATAATAATAAGAAAAGTAAAAAGAAAACCAATAGGGTTAAGGGGAAGGAGCACTCTTGGTGAGCAGAAGAAGAATTACAATCCAAGGTTGGTCACGGTAGGAACAGCGTCTGGACGTCTTCTTTTTGGATACACAGTTCCGGTTTAGTCGATCTTATTGCAACAGAGCAGCTTCAGCTTTGTGTAGGAGACGTAAGCGAACTAACTGTACGTGATAACGAACCTGAAGAGAAATTATTGAAAAGAATATTCTTCGTTCAGATTGACTTCTAATTTCCTCAAATGACAAAAATGCAATCAGTTTGAAGGCTATTCATAAGAATACCGTAGCGCTCTTATATCTTTATATATGTATAATTTTCTGCTCGGAACTCCTCAAGCAGATGCAGAAATAAGGACGACAACGGAATTCTGAGATTTCTAAGTAATACTGTGATGAGAGCAGCTGTCTGCTAGCCAACAAATGGTAGACAGTAATTTACGTCAATGTTCCAAATGTCCCAAATATTGATCATGTGAAAACAAGAATCAGAACAAAGTGTTATGTACTAGTTTCCCCGTCGCCAAATTGTTATGTACTCGTCGCTAAATTATTGTTATGGACTGATCGAGAAACTAATAGTCCTGACGCGAGAAGGCGGAAATCAGAAGACCACTAGGTTTGCGATGATACTTCTATTGTCCAAACACAAGGAGACGAAAATAAATGGTCTCACACCAAAGTGGTAAGTAAGTAAAGTAGTTGTAAAGTAAAGTAGTTCACACAAATTGTGAATGCGAATATATATAAAATAATTCAGACAAGCGTGGGAAAAATCATTAGACAGTCTTAACATGAATGGCTAATTATAATGGAGTGTCGATCCAATTATACATAGCGAATATAGCAGACATGCCAACAAACATATATGGATATATGTCACCAAGCAACGGACTGTCAACAAACACTCATATTATATATAATATAATATAAGGAGAATACACATTATTAAAGGAGACAAGTCCATACAAGTGAAGTGGTCACAGACTAACCGAGCAAACAGAAAGAGAGACCAACATGCACACACACACATAAATATATATATGTGGATACATATCACAAAGGCGGATTGACTCAACAATCAATCAATCACAGAACACTGTGTTTGCGTATGTGGATACAATTTGCAGATAGCAGATAATCTGACTTTCAAGAAACAGCCACAGCTAAGGAGATGAAAGATCAACGTTCAGCAAGAAGCCACCAATCAGAAGACTGTGTTTGTCTGCTAACAATAATCAATAATAATAATGTACATGAAAATCAATAAAAATGTGTTGATTTCCTCAATAAACGATTTGTTCCCTGGTCGGGGAAATTCAACACACTAGCGTCCCAGGAGCCCGAACGCTCAAGTCACCTTGAACACATGCTAGTCGTTGGTTGAGGAACCTTACGATTATTCTATCGCGACAATGAACGATGTTTATCTGCTTAGATGCAAATTTCACCCAGATTACGTATATTTCAATACTGCCTGAATAATGGACACTGTCAGTTAATAGTCTTCTAGTAACTTTCTTTCAAAAATCGAAACCTTACTTGACGAATATACTGTTTCTATGCTACATTACTGGATTTTGAAGTCCGATGTGAGATCAACTGCCGCTGAAACAGATAATACCTTGACGTCTATTGTGCAATAGTTCCAATTTTGTCGAGATTTGGCGTCATGCAAAAAGGAACAGTATTGCACAAGTTTTGGAAGGAGTCAGCGTTGTCGTTCACATTGACGAAACGGTGGTCCTTATATTAGGAAAAATATAATCGGGGATGTGCTAGACCAGATAACGTTTGGGTATTGGGGAATTGAGACACCCAAATTAGAAAAGGATTTATTTATTGATCTTATTCCAGGCACTGAAACTCTCCTCCCTATTATTGTTCAGAGACTCGTCTTGCGCCAGGCACTACCATTCACACATGGATGAATAGGCAGCATATAAGCGATTATCCGAGTTAACCGTTCGAAAAAAGACTTCGTCGATTGCACAACCGGTCCTCATACTAATTCAATAGAAGACTTCTGTGAAGACTAAAACACAGAATAGAATAAGAGCTATAAACCTCCCTCAAAATCAAGTGATTTTTAGTCACCTAGATGAATACATGTATAGGAATTGGTCTAATATATAAAAACAGGAAACTCCCCATTATCATTGGGACATACTTTTAACTCATATTGGAGACAAACATCCTGTTCAATGTTTGTTTCATGCATTTTTATGTAAATATACGTAAGATTTTATGCAAAAATTCTACATTTTGCTGATTGGTCGACTCTTGGTCGTCACTCGTCCATTCGGAATCCTAGGAACGCTATTGTAGAAGTCTGCTGACTGGCCCTTGTCTTCTGCGGTTACAATACTACTAAAACTTCTTCGAATGATAATTTGACGTCTATAAAATGTTTCATTTCATATACATATACATAGGTGCATATACGACAGGGTGTACAAAACGCTCTCTCTCTTTCATAATATGTTGTATTATATTGATTGTGTGTGTGTGTGCATAACTTCACATAATGTAATGCGATATCTGTGAATTCATCATTGCTGGATCGCCATTGTTTAACAGAAAATCTAAATCAGCTGTAACTACGTTGTATCTTCAACGTCTACTTCAGATTCAACACGATGAAATCTACAGGCAAGCAGATGGCGTAGCAATGGGCTCTCCACTGGGACCTCTCTCCTAGGCGACTGTTTTATGGCCAAACTCGAAAACAACCCCTTATCATCAACTATCAACGACCTTCATCTCTACAAGAGATACATTGATAATACTTTCATCATTTGTGATGAGAATCTGGACCTTGAAAACTTACTTCAAACATTCAACAATGCCCACCAAAAGAACATCGACTTTACTCTTGAAGCCGAATCTGACGAAATGTTGTTCCACTTCCTCGACTTCCATCTGACAAGAAACGCCAACAACTCTCTGAAATGGTCCATATACAAAAAGCCCACATGGACTGGACAATTCATCAAATTCCAAAGCTTCGTGCCCCTAAGTAGAAAGGGGAACCTGATATACTCTCTTTCCCCCGTGGATTCGAAAGATATGCGGCGAGGAGGTGATTGATGAAGAACTGAGTAATCTCCAAAGAACCCTGATGGAGAACGGTTTTCCGCCTAGGTCCCTAAACAATAACCGAAAACCAAACAAGACTTCCGAACAAGTTCAATCCGTTTCAAAGAAACTTCTGCTTAATCTAGAATTCAAAGGTGACACTGAAGCGAAAATCCTTCGTAAACGCTTCTCCATATCGCTGAAGAGAACATACTTCGCCACGAGCCGACGACTAACGTTTTCCTGCAAAAAACTGTTCAGCCAGAACGCGAAAGACAAGCTGTCGCATTGGGCCACTTCAACGTGCATATATACCAGTTCACTTGCTCTCTGGCTGACTACATCGGGAGTACCATGCGCCAACTTGAATAACGCGCTCGTGAACACTATCTAGCATGGGTACATAGTTCAGTGACAGAACATCTGGTCATTTCGGGACATTCATCAGTGCTATTCGAGAAATCCTTCAAAATAATATAAATCATTCGATCAAACTTATCAAAGGGAGTAAAATTAAGACATCTAGGCATAGCCGAGGCACTAGCCATCCAAAAGCCATCCAACATAAATCGATAATAATGTACATGAAAATCGATAAATATCTGTTGATTTCCTTAATAATCGATTGATTTGTTGCACGGCCCTTGCCCTTGTCTTCTGCGGTTACAATTCTAATACAATTAATTCTAATGATAATTTGTCATTTATAAAATATTTAATCTCATCTACAAATATACATAGATAGATAGATATATATGACAGGGTGTACAAAACGCATTCTATCTCTCTCTTTCATAATATGTTGTATTGTATTGATATGTGTGTGTGTGTGTATAACTTTACATAATGTAATGCGATATCTCTGAATTCATCATTGCTGGATCGCTTTTTTTAACAGAGAATCGCTTCTCATGCACTCCCACAACTGCTGAATGACCAGTAGTTGTCTGCACGTCTGAATGACAATTTCCAACAGGATGATGATCTGGTGCAGCAGGATCAGGATTATCATTGGTGCCATTACCGTTGTTGTTGTTGTTGTTCATGGTGTTCGCGTTGTTGTTGTTGTTAGGCACCTGAGTAGTTGTTGACGTCTTCGCCCGATTCAAATGCATATGTGCTTTGACCAAATCAGCTGTATCCAAAGCTGCGAGTAGACTGAGTTCTGCGGAAAGCACAGTTCCAGCAATCAAACGTGACAAATGTTCAGTTGGTCGATCCACACTTAAATCCAATAGGTCAAGACATGCACGTTGTGCTGGCAGTCGGGTACCTCCACCAACTGTACCAACCTCTATACACGGCATTGTAACACTGGCTATCAGTGAATCATCTGAGGCGTCAACTTCCAGTTGCGTTAAACACGCCGAGGAATCAATCACCTTGGGTGAGAAAAACAAGCACACGAAAGTGGATGAAGGAGAAGTAAAAGAAAGAAAACAAAACAAAACAAAAAAAACGCGTAACACACCGAAACGAAATAAATGATTCATTTCGAGGAAGAGAAACACTGGAGAATCAGTAAATAAATTCCCACTATGTAGCATAGAGTCACTTAACTGACTGTCTTGTTCAGCCAGTCACTAACTTGATAAAGTACTGAACATTTTTGCCTCCAAAGCTTCAGGATGGTCGGCGGTGGGTGCCTTGCGCTGCGGGTTGGCCACCCCTCCCACCGTACACCTCTTGAAATGCTCCCATATGACAGGGCGTCTTACATAGTCTCCCTGAGGAAGTCCTCAGTCCTCAGTGCCTTCACGTGGCGGAGGTGTTTGTTTTTTTTCACCGAAGTGAAAGGGCAAAAGCGGATGACCGGCGCTCTTCACCGGGTTGACTGTCCATTGGATGACAGACAGTCTAGGGGAGATGGCTAAACCCTGCCTGATTCCAAACCTCCAACGACTGGCGTATGCAGCTCACCGTCAGACGTATGGACAAAGGGTTTATTGGATGACCTGGTGCATGTCTGGTCCCATTCAAAAAGGCGTATGAACCGGTCTCCGGTCACCGGCTGGCTGACAATGGATAGTCGACTCCCTACTCTACTCCTACTGCCTTCTAGGAGGTCACACTTGGTTGGTTGTGTAAAGGCTAGAGCTGAACTCTCAAACAAAAAGCCGAGCGATTCTGGGGACATCACTCCTACCTAATTCCCATGAAACTTCATGAACTGTCGTCGTTGCTACAACATCAACCAGTACTGGTCGAACAACGTGGCCTTCGGTGGTTTGGCCATGTTCTGGGCCGAGCCGACCAGATGACGATCTGGTCAATGAAATCAGTTCTAAATCCCTCCTCACCATTTCCATATTGGAGATATGTCGGAGGGGTGGACAGCTGAAAACACATGGCTTGGTACAGTCAGTCAAGGCTGATATGGAGTGACTGGGCTGGGTCTACAAACCGTCTACGGACTCTGTCTGTGGAACAAGAATTGGATAAGGCTGTGGGAAAACCTTGCATCAGATGGCTTCGCCTTGTCAGCGATGATTCGAGATGTTCATGAAGCCGGCTCATCCTCCTGTAGGAGATATCCGAAGTAAAGTAAAGTAAGTAAGTGAGTGTATGCATGTGTTTCGACAACACAATAAGAAGACGTATTTTATCTGAAACACATTTCGGACATTCTCATCACACACACACACACTCACGCACACGCACACGAGTACTTGGCATACACAGTTTTTATAGAAGGCAAGAAGGCATGAATAATTACAATACAGGTCAGATTGTGTACAGGTCAGGGTGACAAATAATGGGTAGGGAGATGACGCAATGGTGTGGGTAAGAAAGATAAAAGGAGAAAAGAGAAAATCAAAGCAAGGAAGGGGTTGAAAACATTATGAAGTAAATCGGTCCTTGATTCTAACTTGGATTATCAAGGCAGGTTGAAGGTGATAACAAAGAACTTTTCAACACATAAGACAGACAGGTTGAAGTCTTTTTATGGCTAATAATAATAATAAGAAAACAATAATAAATTTTTCCTTCCCGTTTCCCATTGGAACATAGGGCTTCAAGCTAGTGGCTTGAAGTTTCTGTAGCAGCGTTTATTTTACAGGATGAGGTTGCTAGCCTCATGCCCAACCTTTGCTTTTTACCAGGATTATTTCTGGCTTAGCGAGATAAAGGAGTGCACCGGCCGGGAATCGATCCCCGGACCATGTGCATGGTCGGCGAGCGTGCTAACCGCTATGCCACTGACGCACTTTTATGGCTAAGGCTTCAATCAATTTAAGTATGTGACCCAACCTTATTTTCTATATAGGCTTAAAGGCATTTTGAAATCAACCTTATGACCCATCTCTCTATAGATAATGTTGGACATCTATTTCCGGGGTCAGTTGTGTCTGGCGATTTCATTTGTTGTTGCAGCCGCTTTGGAATGTGTTCTGTAGCCCCCTAACCTGCAGAGACCGATGGATCCTCCCTGTGTACATGTCTCCCTGCACACATACATGTAAATTGATAAACACAGTGGGATGTGACACTATTGTTCGGATAATGTGAGGCAGCATAGTTCTCGTTTTCTTTATGAAGATAAGTTTAGCTGCATAATAGGTTCTATTAATTGCGTCCTTGAGGCTTTGTCTAGTGACTAGACTCTGTTGACCACCTCTGAACGGCAAGGTTTTATATGGCGTCTGTCAGTTTATCACAAATGACTATTATGTCACCAACATCATCGATTTGGCGATAATTGCTCGCCCTCGAATGTAAACTTATCATTGTTAGTACGAAAAAAGCAGGAACTCTTTTAAGTAAGATACGGATACTGGTAATAGGAAATCGTTGTAATCACGTAAAATGTCAACATTTGTAAATAAAGATTCAATATCTAGCGAAAACATGGATTTGTCCATTATACCAACGTTATCAAGACAATCAATCAACTCAAAAGTGCGTGTAAGTGCATGTGTGCTGTAGACACAAAGACTCCATCTAGTTCCAAGTCTATGGTGTGTTTGGGAAACTAGGGTGCTTGCTTTAACACAACATTTACACCATCCATTCCTTATTTCATTAAACGAAATCCATGTTCCCCTCTAGCAGCAGCAATCGATCAGGTAGGTAGGTGGCTGGCTTATTCTCCTGCCTTACACACTTACTCTGCTCATGATTATGAAGACGGGAGTAAGACAAGACTGTCTATTATTGCCAATGATCTTCCTGATTAAGGGCAGTAGATTGGATAATGCGACAGACAACGGCCAATGAGGCAAAAGACATCAAATGGACTCACACAAAGAACTTGGAGGATCCGGACTTCGCCGATGTGATATATATATGTCTGGTTCCCCTACAAACTTGACGATATGCAAAGGTGAAAAGTAACAAGTTGGCAGAACAAGCATCCAGAGAAGATAGGAATTCCTTCAAGTGAACATAGAGAAAACAGAGGTGATGAAGATTCCTGGTCTTCACCAACACCACCACCACCAACAACAACAACAAATGACAACAATCAGACAGCATAAATGGGAGGAACCTGAAAGAAACAACTTCCTTCACCTACCCACCGACATGGGGAGCATCGTTTCAACTACAGGCGGACAAAACTGACGAGGATGTCAAAGCAGCGAGAATGAGGAAAGCAAGACAAGCTTTCATTACTCTCAAGTCTGTGTGGAGGTCAATGGCACTAATCAGCATGAAAATGAAATCCGGATTTTCAACTCCAATGTGAAGTCAGTCAGTACTACTACTTACAGTACGGATCAGAGACTTGGCCACTACTCTTTGCTTAAGTAAGTGAGTCGATGGCTATTATCCAGCACCCAGTTAGCAGCCACACTGTGGAAGTTAAAATAGTCGCCTTGAAATAGTCCAAACAGAAAGACAGTACAAACTGTCGGGTAACCACCAACCACACACGGTCAATGGAACAACTGCTCAACTGGAAACTGCAGTTCACATACTTACTGTTTCTCGATTTTTGTCCACATGAAGGAAGACGTTAACACAGGAGCACCGAATAGTAACCGTTCGATGTAGTCTGAACCTCCTTCTTGAAGCCGATAAGCAGTAGTATAGCAGACCTGTGGGTGGAAAGTCTGAGGTGGACAGTAAATAAATAGTTGTTACATGCCTATTCACTTCGCCCTGAGATCTCCCATCTGTGAATTGTCAGTCAGTGAGTGAATTACACTAAGAGAGTAACATTTAGATATGATAGAGAAGATTTGTAGTTCAGGTGGATGATTTTGATGTGGTGTGGTGTTCTTTGAGCTACCTGGATAGTAAATTTTTTTCATCGCTCTACTAGGCAGGCGACATCTTCAACGCATACTTCAATTTCAATTGAAGTGAGCTTTCAGATTTCTCCACGAGTTCACCTTTAATCATCTCTCCTGGTCGGTGAGTGACCAACTTGGACGCCGTGATTGGTTGTTTTTGTGTGTTTTCACACCCCCTGTAGGCGGATACTTACCTATATTAGAACTGATTGTTTCTTTGACTTGAACTTTGACCCCTTGTGTGTGTGTGAGGTTTTTTTTTATTGGTTGATAAATTTTGTCTATCTTGAGGTGTCTATTGATTGATGATTCACGGGAATACCAGGCAGATAGGCTTCTAAAAATTCTCTTGCTGGCATTCTTGGTGTTGTTTTCTCTATCTGTCTAATATTGGAACGCTGGTTCGGTTATCCCAGTCGAATTGATGTTGAATGATGTCACTATTCACTCACAACTGGTGGTGGTCAGTGTGTGAAGACTGAAATCCACGAAAGATAACAAGACAGCACAGACGCCTTACATCTATTGATCTACCAACCGGTAGTCGCTACGCATCTCACTTTACCACTACTACGCCTCATCCTCTGTTCTAGCCGACTACTGACTGACTGACTGACTGGCTGGCTGGCTGGCTTGCTGGCTGGCTGGCTGGCTGGCTGGCTGGCTAAGCAGTCTGAAGGGCGCCAGACTCCAGAAAGAAAACAAATCCTACACGTGCTTCTTCTGGATTACACACAATGTTGACATGGATGGCTGCTTCAAACACCCACCACTACCTTTGACACACACACACACAAACACGCTTTATCCAGTCATCAGGAGTACTGTTTACTCACTGACTGTGCTATGTTCGCCAGTGTCTGTCTGCCTATCTCATTTGGAATTATGGAATTCTGTCATAAGTGTCCGTAGTGAGCCACTATTTGTCCTCTCCCTTCTTTCTGCCTAGAACTTCCATGCAGGTTTGACTCCACAGCGCTTTCACGTTGTCCCAGTGCTTCTCAACGTCGACCTCTTCCCTAGTGTTGATTTGTGTCTCGGCTTTCTCCCTTATCCTGGCAGTGAAGATGTCTTTCGTATCCTGGTCTTTTAGTTTTTGAGTATTGAACTTGGTTTGTGGTCTATCTGCAGCTACTGTTTCTTTGAAAGCTTTTAATTTGATTTGGATTGTCCCTTGTACGAAATAGTGGTCTGAACCAACGTCTGCTCCTCTTCTTACTTTTGTGTTCAGTAGGCTGCGTCTTCACTTATTTGAGAAGCATTGGGATGAAGTCAATTTGGTTTTTGGTTCGCCGGTGTAGCCTTGTGGATATCTTTGTGTTTGTATACGCTGCCATCAATCACTAGTTCATTGAAGGTGCAGAAGTATGCGAAGAGTGTGTTGTCTGGTCCCAGTTTGGCATTCATTCCTGTCCCCCACTAGTATTTTAATGTCACCAATAGGAGTATTATTGTCCATTGTCGCCTGTAGTTGTCTGTAGAATTCTTCTTTCTTTTCGAGATGTGCGTTGTTTGTGGGTGAATAGCATTGTACAACTGACACTTTCCTTCCTTTCGAGTTGAATCTGTCGGTCATTATCTTGGGTGAGATCGCCTCCAATTGCATCAAAGCTTGTCATCTGAGTGACCGAAGTAGATCACTGACTCTCCCGTTGTCAATTCGCTGACACCATTCCCGTTTCATCTGCTTCCACATATTCCCAGTACTTGAATTCCGTACCTTTCCATCTCTTTTGTAATCTCGGCACCTTTGTCAATCTCGTACGTGGTGCGGACGTTCCATTTCCCCACAGACTTTTTCTTTTCGCCCAAGGAGATTCACAGTGGTAAGGTTCCTGTAGGAACTTTGTTCACACAGCGTGCAGTTGCCAGCCTCACACCTGATAAGAGGGTTTTTATATTAAAATAGAGTTTACAAAGAAGCAAACTTGTGGGTTGCTCCCCGTAAAATCAGCAAAACAAGGAATAGAGCAATCAGGACAACACCAGCAAAAGGAAAATAATTCACACCAGGAAGCGAAGCGACAACAGCAATAAAAAAGTATAACCTTAGCAGTATTATCACAGTCAGATACAGTTAACATGGAATTATATTCTGTTCTGTCACAATGCCTGCCTAAAGTGGTGGGACGCATATGTGGTCTGAATATGACGATTTCTCAAAGCAAATTACAACGAGTGGAATGACAACTTTGAAGAACTGTGTGGGTGATTCACTGGCGAATATAATCAGCTCAACTCAACTCTTCGCTTCGTGTTTCTTATTTGTCACTCAATCACTCACTCACTCCCTCACTCACCACACACTCGCTCACTCACTCACTCACTCACCCCAACTCACTCACTCACTCACTTACTCACTCACTCCCTCCCACACTCACTCAATCCCTCATTCACTCACTCACTCACTCCCTCCCACACTCACTCAATCCCTCATTCACTCACTCACTCACTCACACACAAACACACTCACTCACTCACTAACTAACTCAGTGCAATACACAAACAACTGTTTTTCTCAAAACCACACATTATAAAGAAAATAGTTGAAGAAAGCAAAAACAAGCTATCATTCAAGCGTATTCCTGCTGTCAGTAGATAAAGGTGAATCGATATTACTGTGTACGTTGTTTGGTTCCGATCACCATCAACAGGAGGGATTTCAAAGAGGTTACACTTCATTCACTACTTATTCTGGGGAGCATTGTCTCAACTACAGGCAGTCGGAACGGACGGGGATGTAAAATCGAGAATCAGGTAGGGGGGAGCGAGAAACACATTCACTCATCAACCTGAAACAACCAATCTGGAAATCTTCGTCACTCAGCCAACATCAACAACAAAATTCCGTTGGTCGGATTTTCAATACAAACACGTCAAGTTAGTCAGCTCTTCTATACGGATCAGAAACTTGGCGGGGCAGGTCACAAAGAATATTTCCACCAACAGTCTGTTGCAGACGTTACCTTTAACAACAACTAACTGTCTTCGCTGGATCTATACTGGAGATCAGATGGCCGGGCTGGGCCGGGCCGGGTCGGAAAGAATCACCAACAACAAGAAACTATGGGAACAAACAAACAAACAAAACAAGAACCAATCGTCCAAAAACAACAAAGTGGAGAGATGGATTGGACACTCACTGAGGAGGCCGCGTGGGATGACATCACGCGCGCGTCAGGCCATTGCTCGAGTGGAGTCCGAAAGGGAAGCGGCGGGTGGGTAGTCAGTGCAAGGGTGACATGGAGGAGGAGATCGTGTGAAGAGGAGTTGAAACAGTATGGAGTAACATGGATGATTCAGGTGAAAAGTACAGCAGCAGAAGACAGAAGTGGCAAGTGGAGACGTGCAGTTGAAGCCCTATGTTCCACACTAGGAACCCAAGGGAACAACAACAACGTTGTTTTGTTTATTGATCTGTTTGTATGTACAAAAATCTCAGTTACCCAGAGGAGGGATTTTTCTAGTGTAGCAGACAGACCAAGAGCCCCATCTATGAATCATGTGAAGGTTAATCATACTTCTACTACTCAGTTGACCAGCCAGACTGACTGACTGACTGAATGAATGAAGTCGATGCATCAGGATTCAAATTCATCCTCACCTGGCGCGCCTTTTTAATTAGCCCTAATCACAAAACCCAATGAGTGAATGAGTTACTTAGAGCCAGTGCTGTGCGATGCATTGCGATCGATACATCTCCACACACACAAAGATGAATACATTCAGACCAGCACTGAAATTCAAATATCCCCACCCCCCAGGGTAACCTGAATTATATATACCTATATGTGTGCGTATTATTTTGGCTTGTCTAGTGATGCCAGTCACTTGATGGGTCCTTTTCTCAGAGTATGGCCAGCCAATCAACCTCCATTTCTTCCTGTATATTGTTTGCACAATTAGTTCCTCCTGTGTTGAATGGTTCGCTCATTCCCAGAGATCCCTCCCTGTTGCTGATCTTTTCTGACTGGCCATCTGATCCCGATTGGTATTTAGCGGAGACAACTGTTAATGAAGATCTGTAGTTTATTTGAGGTGCAGTTTATGACGCGCTGGCCAAGTCTCTGATCCATCCGTATAGTGAGTAGCACTGACTGATTTCACATTGGAGTTGAAAATCGGGATCTTATCTTCGTTTTCATGCTGATTAGTGGTGTTGGCCTCCACACAGACTTGAGAGTAATGAAGGCTTGTCTTGCTTTTCCGATCCTCGCTGCTTTGATATCCTCGTCAGTTTTGTCCGCCTGTAGTTGAAATGATGCTTCCCAGGTACCAGGCACCTAATGTAAGGTATCACACTTATACTTGTATAGGTGTGTATAACACATCAACTAGACTACCTTGAAACCCTAGAACCAACCGATTAGTCTGCAATTTCAAAACTATTGCTGTCTGTGATCACCCAAAACTATTGGTGTTATTGTTAATTACGCAAAAAGTTTATTACTTCTTCGTCGTATTCGTCTTCTAAGAGAAAGAGAAAGCATTCCACGTGAAGGACTGCTGCCCATCGGTGAAAAGTCCTATGTTCAAAATAGACACACAGCCAGACAGTGAAAAATCTTAGTGCAAGATGTTTAAAGTCTCAGTCTTGACGACGTAATAAATTCCATGCAGGACAACATATTTAAGACTACTGGACGCATTGGCTGTCTGTCTGCACAAAGTGACAGCTATTTTTGTAACTGTTCCCACAACTTGAGTAGTTCATATTGGATTGTACTACTTGCATCCGTGGTGGTGGTGGTGGTGGTTGAATGGTGGGTGGTAAGGTGATCATCGTCAGCGACCCACGCACGCACGCACAGACGCAAGCACGCAAGTCATCTATCTACATACGATTACCCACCCACACACCCACCACGGTCCACTTCGAAATCTCGCCAGTCTACCACTAACCAAATAGTTGGCCAAGATTAAGAAAGGCAGGAAGGAAGGTTGAAGAACATGACACCACCAACCCCATCATCATCATCACGTAAGAGACTAACAACAACAGTCCTACTGAAACGTCAAAGCTTCACACTTCAAGCCCTGTGGTGTCATTCTCGGAATGCAAAAGGAGCCCAAAACGCCTTGTCCATTAAGAGTTGTTTGTATACAGTTCATCGTAAGAATACACACACACACACATAGAAAGAAAAAGAAAATAACATACAATTATCAAAAATCGATAACACTGTTTATCCATGACATGACATACCTGAGCTAAATCTTGACCAGTGGCCGCAAACATTCCAGCGATAATATTCGCCGCATGAGCATTCGATCCCATTATACCTGAACAGCCGGCCAGTGATGAGCCTATCCAATTCTTTGCATGTGCTAATCGTGCTAACCGATGTGCATTGGTGTGCAACACTTGAGCTAAGACGCTAGCCGGGAGACGTGCTTCCGCGATGACAGATTTACCCCGACCAAGAATTGTGTTGATCGTTGCCGGCTTTTTATCTGTACACATATTTCCACTTAGTGAAATCACCTGTGTGTGTGTGTGCAAAATGACAAGGAAGGAAGGAAGGACAAAACAACGTCAGTCAGTAGTCAGCTTAGGCCATGAAAACAAATAGTTATACAAATGGATTAATTAAAAAAAAAACATTCGGGTAGAAGACAATGAAATAATTAATGGTGTCCTCTGATGATGGATGTCACAGCATTATATCGTTCAATTAGTCAAAAAGCAGCAATAGAGAAACTATGCAACAATTACTCTCTATACTGATGAAAATATAAAAACACGCAGTGATGTTCAACTTGGATGAGGGAACTCATAAAATTAGGCCTAACAACATGCACTTCCAATTCAATACTCAAATACACAACGAACAGGTAAAAGGAACACGAATCAGATCATCGCCAAATATCAGGATTAAAATAGCTGAGGCAGTCGTTATGCAAAGATTACAACTAATAGCCCTCGCTACCTATAATTAAACCGAAAATCTCGACAGGTACCTTACATTGATGATACGTTTGTAATAATTAAGAGAGAAATGTGATTTAGAATATACCCATATATGAATTAACAACATATTTGAAGACATCAAATTCACCACGAGAGCAGAAGGAGAAGACGAAAACGAATTAGATAACAAAATCTCATTTTTAGAGGCCTTAATCAGGAGAATATCAACACAGGAAATTTAGAAACACAAGTGTTGTATAGAAAATCAACGCACACACACACACAAACAGATCAAATACTCAACTATACTAACAATAATCCAATTACTCAGTCACTCACAAAAGGAACTGTGTGTGAAACAGACATTGTTCACAAGAGAATTCAAACACACACTGTACCACACTCCAGTGTTGAAAAGGATGGAAGACAAATACCTACCTACTGACGGTTTCAAAAAGGTCTGGCTATGGTTATCCACAAGATTTCATCAAAGTGTTTTTCAGATCGAATCACAACACCACACAAGGAATCATCATCAAAGACCACAAGAAAATTCATCCTACCCCATATATAAAAGCGAAAATATCTCTGAAATAACAACTAGAATATCGAAACCGTTTGATATAAATAAATATAGCACATAAGCCAGCCAGCCAGTCAAATCACTTAATTCGATATTGTGCCAGGCCGGTAGACACATCCAACAGAAAAAGGAGATAAAATTAATGCCATTTACTAGATAAATTGCATGTAAGGCCAAGTAACGGACATTACATCGGTGGTGGCCGAAGTGGGCGTCCTCAGGGCGTCGAATCCGAATCCAAGAACACAACTCAGCTGTGAAAACACATGATATGTATATATATATTCCTGTTTCACATCAATGCACATAGACAATGATAGACATCAGTTTGATAACTCAGATAATGTCGAAATCTTAGACAGAGGAAACACCATCATAAGTGCAGTCAGGTAATTCCTAGAAGCATGATGCTTAAACGAATCAGCCAGCGATTAACAAAAACGTTAATATTGATTGACCAAATATACCAACTAATAAAATGTGAATCAGGTGACCAGAAAGTTTAAAATCCAAGTCGATAATACAAATGATCAATACATATTTAAAGATGGTTACCGGGAGACGCAGGCGATTCTATCACCACGCATGAAAAAATTTAAATCACTTCACTTTATGCTAAATATTGCGCTGAAGAGGGATGTTGTCCAGCAGGGGTGTGAGGGGGGACGAGAAAAGCTTCGCAACTATAAACCAACCAGCTTCTCAGAGAACACTATTTATTGCAAAACATAAATATTGTTGATCATCATCATAATACCATGCACCACATTCCATGGAATGTACACACCTAATCTGCCACTACCACTACTACGGAAGGCACACGCACACACACACACACAGAGAGAGAAAAAGGGTCCAGTTACTAAACACACAGAGATAAGATGTTAGAAGAACTGGCTACTTCAAACAATAGAGGCGCATCGGATCCATGACTTGACTTGACAGCTTGGATTCTCCTGTCAGTCACAATGACTGTGCGTGGCTGACTCAAGCACAGCCACCTCATGCATGCATGAGAAACCTCTTTCCATTCCAAAACCACTCAGCTCCATCCAACTAATCAACTAGCGAACTGATTCAAATTCTGACCTGTCTGTCCAAAAGAAGTTTACTCAACTTCATCAGGATATTGACAAGAATAGTCAGTTTGTGGGGCAAAGTTTAAGCTTAAACGTTAAGCACCACTAACCACCATCAATCAGCGAACGAATTTCAACGCACCAATCACATGAAAGAGGCATTTTAACCATAGAAAACGGATATTTATGAAAAAAAGCTTAATATCTTCATGAAACTGTTACATGTGGTATCTTTCTCGAACATGTGACAGAAACATCTCCCAATTTAACATAGGAGTATCAATAGAAAAGGCACACCACATTCTGTACATACATTCATCCGAATGACTACAAATGAGATCCTTTCGAGATCTATTCATAGCCCTTATCCTCTTTTAATATTCCTCAAAATCCTCTTAGAGAATTAGTGTGTGTCCTTGTAAATGGATCCACAAAATCACTAGAATGATTCACTCTGTGGTGAATATATTTAAGAGACGACAGCGAGTTATAGCCTTTCCATTCATCAATATGTATTATGGATCCCCGTTTCACAAGTCGGGTGACAGTGAGTACTAAGGTAGTAGACTTTCTGTCTGATTTTCTCTCCACGAATCCTTTCCGCACCGAGGTGCCATATAGTCCAATCATCCAAACATTCCTGGCTGTCTCACGACCATGGTTGTATTCTTTCTTCAATAAGACAGTTTCGTCCACACATACGACGACACCTTCTCCGTCCAACAACAAAGTAATTCTCCCCATTTTCCATGAGGCGATGTCTCTGCAGTGCTAGTACCACCGAACTGTTGACACGAGGCTATATTCAGTTTCAGCAGCTATACCTCACACAGTCTGTTCTGGAACCCAGTAATCACAAATATACAAAATCTGGGTTGGGTGTTAGGGAGAGAGATGCGACCTAGCACAAAAATGCTCCTACGAAATATTAAAACTATCAGCTTACCTTCCCTAAGACTAACTCGTCTTAAACAAATTACACAACGATGGACATGTCCATCAAAATTGACCTGGTAAGGCTTTTTACACCCATGACATACCACCACGTGAACAAATCCTCTCTGTCCTAAGGAATCGGAAATCATTGGGAATACTGGAAAACCTTATCTTCATAGAACTGCAAACGTAACTTCGTTACACCAGGCATTGATGAATAAGAATCAAGCGCGCTATATGACTTTGAACTGGTGTGCATAAACCTCACTGAACCATTCGAGATCATTCGCTGATTGGCAGATAGTGTTAGTGGTGCTTAACGTTTAAATTCGGCGGTTAGTGGGAACACAAGTGAGTAAGTATGATCGAATATTTCACAGATATACACACATACATACAAACATCATGTCAGCCCTACAGTGAAGTGATTGAGAGACGAGGGGGGGGAGGACATGAATGACAGAGAAATGATGTGGTCGAAACACGTTTTTCACTGTCAGTAACTAAGTAAGTAGGTAAGTAAATTATACGTATGGTGACAGTTTTGATGGAAAGTTTGTAAAACAGGAAAATAAAATAGGGGCGACATATAAGGAGGGGACATCTGAGGTCCTACGTAGGATTCTCAATAACGAAGCAGGAATTAAGCTGGTGGTAAGTGGCATTTACACCTACAAACTGACTCACTCAGGTAGGACAAGCTCTGTAGGCTAAGCTGTATAGCATCCCGTCGGTCCGTTGACCCAATTAGACAAAATAATATCATTTACAAAATACCCTGCAATGACTGTGAGTTAGGTCGACTACTTACATAGGTCAAACTAGTAGATCGGGGGTAGTCAGATTGTCGGAACATAAGAATTTAGCTAAGGTCAGAATGGTTGACCCCATCGGAGAAGATAAGTAATTTAGAAAACAGTACTCAGCACTACATTGCACTGTATACATTAACACACAACGACACAATAACATGGTGGAAGTCTACACCTGTCTGTCTGTCTGTTTTCGACATAGAACTTTGCACAAATGTGCGGAAGTTCAAGTTGCCACATTCCGTGTAGCACGCGAAGCAAGAGAAGAAAGTACAAGAAAAGCATAATAGAAACAGTGAGCAGAGGTGTGAGACAAAGGAGTAATAAAGAAATACAAAACAGTTTCATTGAAGATCATAAGTCACAGGGAGTGGATGCATCTGCGCCACTGAGAACGGTTTTGAGCCATGTCACCAATTGTTTCCAACCATAGATTTTTACCGTCCCGAGGACCCCAGCCTGGAAGTCTACACCTTCCTACGTAACTGGCTTAGACCAACTGTTGTGGATTTCATTGACTGGTGAGGCCAAGTTTTTGTTTGACCGCCGCTAGCTTTTTTCCAGCCTGATCCTATATCCGCTAACATAGCTCGTCGAGGGAGGCGATGGCTTGGCATACGTAACACATGTCCTAACCATCTCAGTCTTTGTAGCTTCACGGCTTCGTCGATTGATTTCCCCTGTTTACCTAGAACTCTGCGCCTAACCTCCATGTTGCTCACCTTATTATGCCACTTTACACGGGAAATAGAACGCAGGCACCTATGATCAAAGACAGCTAGTCACTGTTTTCATGTCTTCCACTCTCAGTGACCAGGTCTCACAGCTGGCCATAAAGGAGGACGGAGCGGACTGATGAGCAGTACACCCGCCCTTTGGTCGATAGTCGAACATCTCGTCTACGCCAGAGTCGGCGTAAACTAACAAATGCGAAACGAGCCCCTTGTATTCGTGCTGAGATTTCGTCAGAGATCAACCCGTTGGGGCTGATGGTACTTCCCAAATAAGTGAAGCGGTTAACGTGCTCTACCACTTCACTTCCTATTTTTAAACTAGGCGTCGATGTAGTCCAGTCCTGTAACATCATCTTGCATTTGGCGGGAGCGAATCGCATGCCAAACATTCGTAGATTGCGGCTCAAGGTGTTTAGAAGACTCTGCATTTCGTCAGCGTCTTCGCCTAGAAGGACTATATCGTCTGCATATTCCAAGTCAACGAGATTATCCCCCGGTAGCAAGTCAATCCCATGGTGGGGTGGGTCTACACTGAACACATGAAACAGAAATAACTCAATGCAAATATACCAGAAATATGCATGGAAGATATTATTACCGCCAGTCAAATCAGAAGAGGGAAATAAATAATCGCAAAATTGTATTTCAATCCAAGCACATCACAGCGTTCTAACGAGTTACTTATTATGACTATAAAAGCCTTCGTCTTATTTTGACTTGACACTAGTAAACTACTAGTGTGATGTGCTGATATATTAGATAGTTGGAGGCAGTCGGCCAGAGTAAGCCGCCTTGCACCTAGGTTTTGTGCTAGTAGGCGGCACTCATCAGTCAGTCAGCAAGGCGTGTCTGCCACCACATTGAAGGGACAGCTCATGTCCCTTTTGAGATCCAACTATCTAATATATATCAACAATTCACAGCAGTGCACCGTGATGGTGAGCTACATAGAATGGTGTCCACATTGTGTAAACCTGACTGACTGATAGAATTCAGTCTGCATCAAAGAAAGGACAAGACACGTCACACTAGTTACTGGCTAGTGTCCACTCAGACAAAACACCCACTACAGTCCTCCTACAGGAGGTCTATGGACAGCTCGAATAGATCAGTGGTAAGGTTTCTGACAGTAGCACTAGTTGGCGCGGATTCGAACCTCAGAAGAGACATGAGCTGTTCCTTCAATGTGGTTGTTGCAGATACGCCTTACTAACTGGTGAGGGCCAACTAGCACGAAATCTAGGTGCAAGGCGGCTTCCTCTGGCCGACTGCCTCCAACTATCTAATATACCAACATTCGTCTTATTTCCCATCTGATTGTTGTAATTGATCACTCATAACAATCATATTAGTATTATTATTATTATTCCTGAATGTACATTATCCCATATTACTGATTTTTATTCAAATGTCTAATCATCAATTCCACTCATGTGTATATAAATGAAGGAAACAAGAAAGTTGTGTGAGTGAGTGAGTGACTTGATATGATTATGAGTGGCAATAATAATAAACTGTGCTCGAAATGGCGTATGGTTGGATCAGTTAATATTACAGTATAACTGTCACTACACTGCACTGTGTGACAGTTTATCAAAATAAAATCTTATCCATAATCGAGTAGTTATACTCTACCACCACCACCAACACAGTGGCCAATTTTTGTACTTATACCGTAAACGAAATGCTCATATTATTATTATTATTATTGAAGTGCTTTACAGCAAATGATGATAAATCATCATTCATTCTATCATCCACTCACCTGCATCCTACTAAACTCTTTTTGAAGGCAATGCAAAGCACTATCAGTTGCTTTGCTTACCATATTCATACCCATAGCATCCCCAGTACGCGCTGCAAATCGAATATGAACGTATCGACCAGCCTGATGAACAAGAGAACAACAAACACAGACAGACAGACAGACATAAAAAGCATCAGTAAATTCTCATGTGGGATAAAAAGCTTCATCAATCAATAATTGGAAGACTCTATGAGAGATGAATCAACGCAAAAATGGAAATTCTTCTTTCAAAGTGGTTGCCATTCACCCCACACACACCCGCCGCCTCTACCTAGTCTAATCATCCGATAAACCAACCGATTAATTAATTAATTAATTAATTCTACGAAGGCTACTACTAATTGAGTCGTCTTATGCGTGTGCGCCAATCGCGAGAAAGTCAGTGAGTGCTTCTACATATGGTTGAACGAGTCTTGGCGTGTCGCAGAAAGCATTTCCGACATGCTACTGCAGACAGCCGTATCAACAGCTGCCTCCACTCCACTCCACTCCACACTGAAGGTCACAGGGCTAACCAGAGAAAATAAGCAACAAGGAACTTTACCATCGGACGGACCTATTGCTAAACAGATACGCAAACAAAAACTGAGATACGCATTGGAGAAACGCTGATGAGACTGCTGAGTGATAATACCAACACCATGGGCCAGACCCTTGAGTAGAACCCGGAGAGAAAACGATCGGATGGGAGTGGGTCCGACTGTGACGTGGAGGTTATCGTGTGAGGAGGTGACACCTCACCCGGAGTCTTCCAGCCAAGTAAACAGCACTCTGTCGAGAGCAGGACGAGATGGAGTTGTGTTGTTGGAGTCCTACGTGCCACTCGTCACCCAATGAGATAATAATAATGATGATAAAATAATAGTAATTCAGTCTTCAAAATCGAGGGACGTGGCACTGTATCGAATCGAGTCATTAAACAATCCACTCACACACCTCCCCCCAACCCCACCCTCACCCACAGTGCAACTGCTGAGCTACACAAACAAACTTAATGATCTTACACCATATAGTTGAAGGGAAGTATGAAACTAGTGTACAAACGCCTTAAATAATAATTACCACATCATACACAAACTCACTCACATACCCTGCTAGTGTAAAGCCTTTGACTCAGAGAATCATGCGAGTAGTCAACTTCGAGCTATAATCACTACAGTGAAATGTGCACTTAAGCATAAAGTGCATGTGATTTTACAAAAAGAAATCAAATCAAATCAAATCTATATGTGGAACTAGTAACATCAGCCATATCCAGAAGAAATTATTCATGCACTCAAGCGAACCAGAATGTATCTGTATGTTTGAATAAAAAAGGGTAATCGAATGCGTAAATAGTCCAGTTTTAGCCACTTCGCAGATACTCGACACTCAATAGAACTTGACCAGACGTTCTCAGTTATTCACCGCCTCCCTTGGAATCTATCTAGACGACTCGACTATGTCTTCTACTAGTGAGTGGCTGAAGCGTTTCCAAGCATTACCAGAACACCGACCGACCCTCTTTGCATGCAACACAAGAAGTATGTTCAACCGTAGTATGGCCTATTACCTTGGCCTATTGCAATAAGGCCAACAAATCCTCCATAAACATTACCACGCCAAATTCATATCACAAGATTCTTTTCTTCTACTTCGATTCTTTTGTTTCACAGTGACAAACGTTCAATTTACACCACATATGATTTCATGAGCCTTCTCATGATTTCTATTCACTCAGGTGTAACTAGTGCTTTGCTAACTTCTTATCGTATTTACAAATTCCTGTTCATTTCACTTCACTCAATTCATTATCATTATTATTATTATTATTATCAATATTATGAATATTAATATTATTATTATTATATGACAAACAATAATATTCTCGTTATTTTCAACCTTGAACTTATGTCCAGACCAATTATTGAAGAGCGAATATTCTTCATTCAGATGGACTTTCATGTCTGTCTGGTCCACCTCATTAGTTGGTTTAGTATTTTCTGTAGAATTCACCTCGGAATAAAGAACAAACAGACTTAGCCATGATGTGAGATTGTATGTGAAATAAAAGGAATAGAAGGTAGAATGGACCTCACTCAGCGTTCATCTGATAACAAACCAACGCCTTCTTGTGCTAATAGAGTTTTAGACTGTACTTCAGCTCATCTCATCTCATTCGCTCACTGTCTGTGAAGGCAGACTTAGTTAAGTTGAGTTAACTTAATTTAGGTGTCTAACAAACCGAGTGATCATCAGTAGCACTAACCAGTACAAAAATACACCACCAAAATGATGAAATCAAACAGACAGACAGAGAGAAGAAGAAGCGGAAGCGTTGGTGTCAAATAACTGACTAACTAACTGAGTAAGTAAGTAAGAAAGTAACTATCCTATAAAATTCATTCGGAAGATCAGAAAAGGTGTAAAGCGAAATAAACACTAAAATAATGGTGAGACTAATAATGATAACTAGCATAAATAAGAGAGAGAGAGAGAGAATGTAGGGCATCTACAGCACTCCACTATACCATATGAGGAGGGAGGCGACAGACATCTGACACGGCACTCACTCCCTACGTAGGATTCTGAATAACAAAGCAGGAATTTGGCTGGTGGTTAGTGGCATTTACACCTACAAACTGACTCACTCATGTAGGACAAGCTCTGTAGGCTCAGCAGGCTATGTAGGACCCCGTCGGTCGGTTGACCCGATAAAACAAAATAATATAATTTACAAAACACTTTGCAACGACTGTGAGTTAGGTCCACTATATAGATCAAACTAGTATATCAAGGATAGTCAGATTGTCGAAATATAAGAATTTAGCTGCGGTTTAAATGGTTGCCCCCGCGAAGTGAGTTTGTAGGTTTAATTGGCACCACACTAATGGAATCTCAATCAGATGGCTGACTAATATATACGTAAAACTTGGGGTGTGTGGAAGTAAGTAATTCTATGTTAGTTTGTTTATTAGATGTATCACTCAGTGAAACGTCATCCAGTAAATAATAGTGTTTTACTGTGTGATGTATCTAATAAACAAACTAATATGGAATTAAAAATTATATTTGTAAAATCTCAGCGATATTGAAATGAGTAATTCCAACGTTTCGTTCGGAAATCTGGTCCGAACTTCTTCAGGGAAATTAATCGAAATTAACATAACAGGTTTATATATGTGAAAGGAACATCTTTAGTTTTTAAAAACTTTGTCCAATCATGATTTATAAAACAAATATTAACAAGTATAATAAACAAAATTGTACGAGTTGTGATCAAAATTTGACCTCAGACTTACAAATGTTGATCACCTTTGTTAAACACTTTAAACACAGTGTGTATGTGTGTGTGTGTGCAGATAAGGTAGATCAATATTTGTAAGTCTGAGGTCAAATTTTGATCACAACTCGTACAATTTTGTTTATTATACTTGTTAATATTTGTTTTATAAATCATGATTGGACAAAGTTTTTAAAAACTAAAGATGTTCCTTTCACATATATAAACCTGTTATGTTAATTTCGATTAATTTCCCTGAAGAAGTTCGGACCAGATTTCCGAACGAAACGTTGGAATTACTCATTTCAATATCGCTGAGATTTTACAAATATAAATTTTTACAAATGTCTACTTCTCACTCGGCGCCCAAATATTATTGAACTATTCTGTCAAATCTTGACTACAGTTCATTTGATTAATATGGAATTAGATGGCTGACTGCTATTTTTCGCTCCCCTCAGTAGTTATGCATAGGGTTGCCCCGTGAATGCTTGTCGAATGAAGGATACAGGTGATGTCATGGTACCTATTTGTGCTTCAGAACTCTCTGAGTGATACACATTCTGAGAAATTGCTAAGCCTTTTTTTTTCTCCAAATGCATGGGCGCTAAGCAAAAGTTTGTGACAAAATTAACGTTTACTTATAAGTAGTATCAAAATAAAATAAAAAATATGTCGCTTTTTTACTGTGATAGGAAATTCAATATTTAAATTAGGTAGGAGAAAGTTGAAATAGTTACTGAAGTGTAACAACTTTATTAGTTTATTTGTGTTAATTTACAACATTAGAATATATCGCGTAGTGTTGGGATCAGTCAGACTTGTCGATTCACTTGGATAAACTAATGAACTTCACAACATTTCATCTCACTGTTGTGATCATCGACAAAAAGAGATATTAGCCTGCCTTGCAACCGGAAGCTCCTGACTTTGAATCCCAGTGGTTACCTACTGTCAATGGTTCCCAAACTAGGCTGATGAAACAGTTGTCCAGTAATCCCTGGCTGGTTTTCAATGGTTCTCTAACTGATATCAATCCGTGGTCGAACTCGTAAGGAACAAATCTAATCCTTACAAACCAAACCAACTCTTAAAATATCTCCATCGAACTTGCTGTTTGGCTTTCACTTGCAACCAGCTCCGCGACTATCCACAGACTGTTATTGTCCCTTCACATGATGGTCTCTGTATAATCGTCTGATGCCCAATTCGTCTCCTCACATTTACGTTCAATCAATAGCACAGCTCACCAGTGAAGTTTGAAGTGAGGATAGAAGTGAGACAAAGTTGTTGATTTTCATGTCCTTGTGTTCTATGAGCTGGATAGTTAATTTATGAAGCTTTCATCGCCCTACTAGGCGATATCTTCAGTGCATAATTCAATTTCAATTGAAGTGAGCTTTTACATTTGTCCACGAGTACATTAATCGTCTCTTCTGCTGACCTTGGACGTGACTGGTTGTTTCTGTGTTTTTTCAAACCTTCTAGGTTACTTTATATATATAGAGGATATCTCCGAAATCACTTCAAATCTTTAGGAATTGACGTTTCACACAAACCAACAAAGTCGCTTTAGTCAGTTCTATGTCAACCAAAAGACTCAACAGCAAAAGAAGATAAAACCAACATCTGCATCTACAAAAATAAATTGTAACAACTGCGAACAACCCTACATTCATCTTCGTATCCACGAACATAACCTAGCCATCAAAACATATGATATCCACTTCTTCACATCACTGCATACAGACAACCACGGACATCAATTCGA